GGGGGGGGGTGTGGTAAAATATTTAATTCAACTGACTTTGCATCTTGCAGTTCAAAGATATATGGAGATGGAAATGCCGTTCCCAGGATTCTGAAATTTCTCAAATCTATTGATCTTCAAGAGCCATTACAAAAGAAATTCTGCTTTCCTCCCGTGAAGGAGAATATTTCTCAAGATATTGACCATATTCTTGAAACTCTAAGTGCCTTGGCTGTTGACCTGGGTGGGACAAACCTCCGGGTTGCAATAGTCAGTATGAAGGTAAAATAACTACTGAGCTCATAATTTTGTGTTCCATGTGAGTTTGAAAATGTATAGTAGGAAAGTAGGGCTAGAGACATACAAAATTGCTTATAATCACTTGCCCATATAATTGACTTTGGATCCAATATATAATGTTTCTCTTACCATTTTACTAATAAAATTTCAAAGGAGTAAGTCAGTCAGTCCTTAGGGAATCCAATGGTGTTGACCTGAGTTGAGAATGAGAGAACTCCTCTGGCACCAGAGAGGGGTTTCCTGTCCAGGGGCCCTAAAATTCTGTCCTGGGTAACAGCTGGAGCCTGGAGCATACTGGCTGCCAGAACTGCCCCAGTGAGGGTGTCTGAAAGGGAATAGCGTCTCCTCCAGAACATTATCAGGTGCGTCAGTTCTCCAGTTCAGTTGTGTAATTCTGCTCTTTCCTGAGGACAATATACTTGCAGTCTGTTGACCAGATCTTCACCAAGACCACAGTGTTGTCAGGGCTCCAGAGAGCCTTCATGAAAATACCAAATTGTCCATGTTCAAATGCTTTAATGATTAATGAAAGAGAATAAACCTTACGGAAAAGCATTTGTTTAAAATATTGTCAATGTATAAAATGAGGAGTCTTTTATTTAATATTTTAAAGATGAAGTTAAAGTAAGTCAGTTAATATAATATCGTTAGGCCAAATAAGAAACAAAACCTGACTATCAAAGAAGCTAAAAGGTCTCTCATATATATTCTTTAAAAAATATTAACAGAAGAGTAGTTTCTTAATACAAAGATTATGTACTCCATATAAACAGCTAACATCCTTTGTAATGGTGAAATTCTAGAGACATTCCTACTTAAGAAGTAAAGAAATATTTTCTACAACATTACATAACGTAATCCTCAAAGTTAGGAAGGGAATAAAGCAAGGAGTAGGACATTATGTGGAAAGGGTGAAAAACAAAAACAAATAATATAAATCAACCAACAAGCTTGTAGAACAAATACAATGACTGGATATGATGATAAATGCATAAATATCAATAACTATTGTTTACATGAACTTGTAGTCAAAGAATTGACCATTTTTTCAAAGTCAGTGTTTGTCAGTCTTGACCGTACTACCTGCAAGCTTTAAAAAGAAACGCAGAAGCATGGATCCCACACCGGTCTGAGTCTCGGGGGTGGGAGCCAGGCATTTTACCAAAAGCTGCCCAGGTGATTTTGATGCTCATGGACTCCTGAGAAATACTCCCTTGGTGTTTAACTTTTTTGTTGTGATTTGTTGCAAGTTTATAAGGCAAATTGGTTTTCTGTTCAACAAGAATGCCCACCCTGTAACAGCACATGTCTCGCTGCTTCCATGTGTTTCCTGCTTCCATTCCTCCTCCTTTCCTGTCCCTTTCTGATTTCTGGCTTTATCTCCTATGTTTGATTGATTGTTCTAAGGAGCACGTAGTCCCAGGTGTTATTGTTCACCCTCTTGGCTTATCTACCGATTGAAAGTTGAGCCAAAGGGGTGAGTTGAGTTCCAGGTATGAAGGGTGTCTTAAGGGCCATTGTCTTGGGGCCCGTTAGATTTATTTTTAATGACAAATCATTAGTGGCAACTTTAGCACTCATTTAATATATAGAAATGATTAACATCAGAGAATATACTGGAAAAAGAGATCCCACTCACCACTGTCAAAAACTCTAAGAATAATCTAAACAGAACTATGTGATGTACACAAATTGCATGTAACTTTACTATAAAATATAAAGTCTTTAAAAAATGCCCTAGATGGGAGTCCAGATAATTTTTTAAATATCAGAATTCTCCAAATCAATTTATAGATTTAATATACAAGGAGGTACCCCCGAAACTGTAATTGCACTGGGCTTAGTGGAGCTTACTACAAGCAACTTGCTCTTGAGTTAGTGCATCCAGTGGCGTCACCTGGGAAGGTTCTCTCTGGTCACAGTGAATTTTTTCGTAAAAACAGCTTCACTCAAACTTAGTTTGAGTGTGATGGCCAATTTAAGAGAACAGCATGCGAATGTGAAATTTTGTTTCCTGCCCTGGAAAATGCCACAGAAACTGTTGTGATGTTGAACACGGCTTACAAGGACAGCATTATGGGAAGAGCTCAAGTGTCCGAGTGGTTTTCTTGTTTCAAAAAAGATGAAATGTTGATGACAAACCTCATTCTGGACATCTGTCAACTTACCGAATAGACGAAAATGTCAACTCTGTAGTACATTTGGAGTTCTTTCCACCAGGTCAGACTGTTAACCAAGCTTTCTACTTAGAGGTTCTGAAAGGATTGTGTAACAGTGTGCGACAGAAAAGGCCTGATTTGTGGCCAACAGGGGACTGGTTTTGCCACCACGACAGTGAACCTGTTCATGGAGCCATCTCAGTGCATCAGTTTTTGGCAAACACCAGCATGCCTCTCGTGCCCCAAGCACCTGACTCACCTGACCTCACTCTGCGACTTTTTTTGTTTCTACAAATGAACAGGGACATGTAAGGACAGCGATTTGACAATGTAGAAGAGGTGAAGAGAAAAACGAGGGCGGTGCTGTCAGCCATCCAAAGAGATAAGTTTGAAAAATGTTTCCAAGAATGGAATCACAGATTTGACAAATGTATTAAGTGTAATAGAGAGTACCTTGAAGGTGATAAGGTGGTTTTGTAAAAAAATTTAAGTACATAGCTTTTTTTGGTGGGAGGGGTCCCAGTTTTGGGGGGGTACCCCTCATAATTCTAGTCAGCAGTTAAATGAGATTTCTTTGTAAGTTTATATAAGAGGCCTAAATCAGTGAGATTTTAAAAGGTTAACATTATGCTGAGATTTACTTAAAGTAATACAAAAATATGAGCAAAGGAAAAAAAACAAAAACCAGAATCAGTAAGTTCCCTGATGGGTACAAAGAGTGTATGCTGTACTCCTAATCTAAAGGTCACTGGTTCGAAGTCACCCACTGCCTGCACAGAAGAAAGGCCTGGCAATATTCTGTAAAGCCTGCAGTCAAGGAAATGGTAGAGAGCAGTTCTCCCCTGTAACACATGAGGTTGCCAAGAGGTGGAAATGACTCAAGGGCACGAATGAAGGCTTCCTGTCTGATACCAAAGTATATCACAAAACACAGTGGTATCTGTGCCGCCAACAGGGGGATAGCCGAGTGAGTAGGATAAGCACAGTTGACTAGCGACTAGCTGTCTAGGGTGTCTATTTGTTTACCTAGGCATTTCAGCAAGAAGAAATGGTCAGCCTGAAACGAAGGTATAAAATGGGATCTTTGAAGGAACTGGATTCAGGGTAGCCTAAGGCAAGAGCCCTTTGGGTCGGCTGTGGAGTTTCCGCTGCGTCAGCAGCTGTGTGTCAAGATGGCTTCCTAGGAAACCACTTGGGCTTATCATCCAGGTACTACCTCTCACCTGTGCTGCCATCTCAGTCTACAGCGATGTCTGCTTTATTCTGAAAAGGTCAAAAGATTTATGGTACGCTTCTCAGCAGAGACCAATTAGATAGACCTTGTTGTTTCTCCTCTTTCAGGGTGAAATAGTTAAGAAGTACACTCAGCTCAATCCTAAAACCTATGAAGAAAGAATTAATTTAATCCTACAGATGTGTGTGGAAGCTGCCGCAGAAGCTGTCAAATTGAACTGCAGAATTTTGGGAGTAGGTGAGATTGTGAATTATATATCCAGGCAATGGACATATTAGTGTACAATGTTTACTTAGTTCTGATGGAAAACTGAACATCAAGCAAGTGTGGCCCGTGTTCAGATGGCTCAGGTCCTGTTGGTGGGACCCAGCATGGAGACTGTGGATCACGCAACAGTGTTATGGGGGACACGTTGGTGGTGTAAGTCTGTGGGGGATTGTACCCTTTGACCAGAACTGCCTTGGATTTTCTTGCAGTCCTTGGGTAGTATTTGCCCTAGGATAAATGGATTTCTCCTATTATAAATTTCTCTTTATTTAAATATATCTTAATAAATAGGGTAAATAAAATGATTTGCGTCCTGAGCTAAGAAAGTTGGCACACTGTGCTTCAGTTGTTAATCAGAATTACCTCCTTTGGTTTTGTGGTGGAGTTTAGGTATTTCCACGGGTGGCCGGGTAAACCCTCGGGAAGGGATCGTTCTCCATTCAACAAAACTGATCCAAGAGTGGAACTCTGTGGACCTCAGGACGCCTCTGTCTGACACGTTGCATCTTCCTGTGTGGGTAGACAACGACGGCAACTGTGCTGCCCTGGCAGAAAGGAAATTTGGCCAAGGGAAGGGCCTGGAAAACTTTGTGACACTTATCACAGGCACAGGTAAGAAGAGTGAAAGAGAAGGTTGCATCAGGAGCTAGAATTATAAATTCAGGGTAAGTTACTCCCTCCTATTATGCTTATTATTCCTTGTTAAAAATACATATTTTTAAAAGCTTAAGTGTATGCATCCTTTTGAGGCAAATGTACATAGTGGGTAGGAGTCCAGACTTTGGAGATTATTGAACGTGACTGAATCTCTGTGGGGGTGAGAGGGTCCCCAACACTCGAATGGGTCCTCACACACGACTTTGCGATTATAGAAAATATTAAAGACAGACAGACAGTGGGGCACAGGGGCTCCTCATCCCATGTCAGGACTGAGAGAGAGGATGTATTTTCCAATGAGTATATGTAGTGGGGCTTACAGATCTTTCATAAGACATGCACATCATACAGCTAACATATTACAAAGTCGGTGATAATTCATAAGCGGGTAACATAATGAACTCACAATAAAGTGGGTCATTGACTTGACCTAGTGCTAGTTGACATCAATTCCCCCCCACCGAGCCCTTTCCAGGGGGCTGCTACATTTGTGGTGGGTTGGCTACAGGCACGGATTGCTTTTATGCGGATAACCTTCAGGCATTGTGAAGTAGCCAGACACAGAAATGATTCATCTTATATGGTAGCTCCTTTCTGACCGTTTCTTTATGGGGGTTATTGGAGGGACTGTGTCCAGTCATGAGAATGTATGTTAAGATTTATTTATATCTCATCACCGTGAGAGTCTTCCCCCACCAGAGTCGGCTCTCCAGACCCGTCATGATGAGCAAGGAGGATTTAGCTGCAGGACATTCTCATGCAGGCCCTCAGTTTACCACAAATCCCAGCTCTGCCATTTAGCTAGCTCCGTGACTTTGGAAACTACTTCACCTCAGATCCTTAGTTTCCTCATTTGTCAAGTATGGATTATAGAAGCACTTATTTCTTAATACTGTGGGAAAATCTGTGTTCACTACAATAATAGAAGATATTAACTGCTCGTGAAGTAGGGTTCATTGGTTTCTTTTTTATTGAAATAAAATCCACATACTACAAAGTTCGCCATTTAAACCATTTAAAAAATGTAAAAGTTAGTGTTTTTCAGTATTTTTATGATATTGTACAATCACCACAACTCTTCCAGAACATTTTCTTCGCCCAGAAAGAAAGCCCTTCTCCATTAAAAAGTTCACCCGACCCGCTCTCTCCCAGTCCTGGCATTAATCTAGCTCGGTTGGTGGCATCGCACTGGTCTCTTAGGCCCTGCTTATATCTCTTCTCTCTTTTCGTTCCTCAGACTGGATAATCGCAGTTGACCTGTCTGAAGCCTTATTGATTCTTTGCTTCTGCTTGCTCAAATCTGTTGTACCCCTCTAGTGAAAAAGTAAAATGACTTGTATTTTTGTTATTGTAAATGTCAACTCCAGAATTTCTCTTTATAATCTATCTCTTTACTAACATTTCCTATTTAAAGGTCAAGTACAGGCACAGTTCTCACTTCCTCATCGTTCTCATGGGTTTTCTTCTAGTCCTTTTGTTCTTTAGTTTTCTTTTAGCCCTTCACCCTTTTGTTCCATTTGACTCTCTGACCATGTTTAAAATGCCTGAGGTTAGGGTTCATCTGCATCATTAGCATATATCAGAACTACTTTTCTCTCTATGGCTGGATACTATTCCAAGAAGATGGAAGAAATGATAAAGTAAAACAACTAGGTAGAAAATTTCTAAGATAATACAACTCTTCATAATATGATCGAATGATTAAACTGTGTGGTATGTGAATTATATGCCAATAAAACTATTTTAAAAATAAAAGAAAATTTAAAAGAGAATTTTATAATGAATTATATTATTATGAAATGTGCAAAAACATGGAGTTAGAAAACCATGTTAGAAGAACATGCTCAATTTATCTCAAGCTGAAAGAACTGAAGAAAACAAAGCCTTGAGTTGAAATATTAAAGGGTTTTAGAGGCAAAATATTGAAGGAGACAAGAAGCATCAAAAGATGATGGAAAGAATACACAGTCACTGTACCAAAAAGAACTGGGCAGCATCCAAACATTTCAAGAGGTAGCATATGATCCAGAACTAATGATACTGAAGGAAGAAGTCCAAGCTGCCCTGAAGGCATTAGCAAAATACAAGGCTCCAGGAATTGACAGAATATCAATAGAAATGTTTCAACAAGTTGATAAAATACTTGGAGGCATTCACTCATCTAAGCCAAGAAATTTGGAAGACAGCTACCTGGCCAACTAACTGGAAGAGATCGATATTTGTGCCCATTGTAAAACAAGGTGACTTACGTGCATATATTTATAGGTTTAGGATTAAGGTAGCAGATGACCAGTGGGCCTCTCTCTACTCAAGTACTCTCTCAATACAAGAACACTTTCTTTTATTAACCTGGCATTCCATGATGCTCACCTTCCCGACGGGATCGCTGAAGACAAAGCAGGTGCATAAGCAAATGTAGTGAAGAAAGCTGATGGTGCCCAACTATCAAAAGATATAGTGTCTGGGGTCTTAAAGGCTTGAAGATTAAAAAGTGGCCATCTAGCTGAGAAGCAACAAAGCCCACGTGGAAGAAGCACTCCAGCCTGTGTGATCACGAGGTGTTGATGGGATCAGGTATCAGGCATCAGAGAACAAAAGATCATATCATTGTGAATGAGGAGGAGTGCACAGTAGAGACCCAAAGCCCATCTGTAGGCAACTGGACATCCCCTTACAGAAGGGTCTCGGGGAAGAGATGAGGCAGTCAGGGTGCAGTATAGCACCAATGAAACATACAACTTTCCTCTAGTTCTTTAATGCTTCTTTAATGTACAGAGGAAGTACACTGGTACAGATAAGAGCTGGAAGCACAGAGCATCCAGGACAGATAAACCCCTCAGGACGAATAATGACAATAACGGTATCAGGAGCGGAAGGGGAAGGTGGAGGGACTGATCACAATGATCTACATCTAACCCCCTCCCTGGAGGAATGGACAACAGAAAAGTGGGTGAAGGGAGACATCAGACAGTGTAAGACATGACAAAATAATAATTTATAAATTATCAAGGGTTCGTGAGGGAGGGAGGGGAAAAAAAGGAAGAGCTGATACCAAGGGCTCAAGTAGAAAATGTTTTGAGAATGATGATGGCAACAAACGTACAAATGTGCTTGACACAATGGGTGTATGTATGGATTGTGATGAGTTATACGAGCCCCCAATAAAATGATTTAAAAAAATGAAAGTGGCCTAACAGAATGTAGGAATTATAGAACACTATCATTTATATCACATGCAAGTAAAATGTTGCTTCAGACAGTTCCACAATAGTCACAGCAGTTCATTAACAAGGAACTGCCAGAGATCCAAATTGGATTCAGAAGCGGAAGTGGCACAAGGGATTTCATTGCTGGTGTCAAGTGGATCTTCGCTGAAAGTAAAAAACACCAGAAAGATGTTTGCCAGTGTTTTATTGACTATGCAAAGGCATTCAATTGTGTAGATCATAGCAAATGATGGATAATATTGAGAAGAATGGGAACTTCAGAATACTTCATTGTGTTCAAGAAGCCTTGGTGGCATGCTAACAGCAAGGTCCGCAGTTTGAAACCCCCAGCTGCTCCTTGGGAGAAAGATGAGGCTGTCTGCTCCCATAGAGATTGATGGTCTTGGAAACCCACATGAGCATGCCAGTTCAATAGGATTGTTGAGTCAGAATTAACTTAATGGCAGTGAGTTTGTATTTTGCTTAGTTTCATTGTGTTCACGTGAAACTTGGACATGGAACAAGAGATAGTCATACAAGAACAAGGTTCACAATCAGAAAGGAGTGTATCAGAGTTTTATCCTTTCACCATATTTACTTGATCTGTCTGCTGAGGAAATAATCCAAGAAACGACTATATTATGGAAAAGAATGCTGCACCAGCATTAGTGGAAGGCTTATTAACAACGTGCAATATGCAGAGACAAAACGTTTCTTGCTGAAGTTGAGGAGGACTTAAAGCACATGCTGAAGATCAGTGGAGATTACAATACAGTGTACAGAAAATGAAAAATATACCAAGGGGACCAAAAGACATCATGATAAATGGAGAAAACAAAAGTTATCAAGGATTTCATTTTATTGAGATTTCACATTTGTGCTCATGGAAACAGCAGTCAAGAAAACAAAAGACATATTGCATGGGGCAAATCTGCTGCATGGGACCTCGTGAGCAAGGCTGTCACCCTGAAGACTAAAGTACACCTGACCCAAGTCATAGCACTTTCAGGTGGCTCAGATGTATGTGGAAATTGGACCCTGAATAAAGAAGACCAAAGAAAAGTTGATGTATTTGGTGAAGAATATTGAAAACATTACGGATTGCCAGAAGAACAAACAAAACTGTCTTGGAAGAAGCAGAGCCAGGATACTTCTTAGAAGAGAGGATGAGGAAATAGATGTGCATATATTTATAGGTTTAGTATTAAGGTAGCAGATGGCCAGTGGGCCTCTACTCAAGTACTCCCTCAATGCAAGAATACTTTGTTCTATTAATCTGGCATTCCATGATGCTCACCTTCCTGACACAATCACTGAACACAAAGAGGGTGCATAAGCAAATATGGTGCAGAATGCTGATGGTGCCCAGCTATCAAAAGATATAGGGGGGAAAAAAAAAGATATAGTGTCTGGGGTCTTAAAGGTTTGAAGATAAACAAGTGGCCATCTAGCTGAGAAGCAACAAAGCCCACATGGAAGAAGCACACCAGACTGTGTGATCGTGAGATGTGGATAGGATCAGGCATCAAAGAACAAAAAATCTTATCATTGTAAATGAGGGGGAGTGCAGAGTGGAGACCCAAAGCTCATCTGTAGGCAACTGGACATCCCCTTACAGAAGGGTCTCAGGGAGGAGATGAGGTAGGGTGCAGTATAGCACCGATGAAACATACAACTTTCCTCTAGTTCTTTAATGCTTCTTCCCCTCCACTATCATGATCCCAATTCTGCCTCACAAATCTGGCTAGAGGATGTAGACTGGTCAGATAGGAACTGGAAACACAGGGAATCCAGGACAGATGAACCTCTCAGGACCAATATTGAGAGTAGCAATACCAGGAGGGTAAGGGTAAGGTAAAGTGGGGTAGAAAGGGGGGACCAATCACAAGGATCTACATATAACCCCCTCCCTGGGGGATGGACAACAGAAAAGTAGGTAAACGGAGATGTTGGACAGTGCATAAGACATGACAAAATAATAATTTATAAATTATCAAGGGAGGGAGAAAAATGAGGTGCTGATATCAAGGGCTCAAGTAGAAAGCAAATGTTTTGAGAACGATGATGGCAACATATGTACACATGTGCTTGACCAGTGGATGGATGTATGGATTGTGATAATAGTTGTATGAACCCCCAATAAAATGATTTACAAAAGAAAGAAAAAAGAGAGAGGATGAGACATTGTCTCACATCCTTTGGACATGTAACCAGAAGAGACCATCCCTAGAAAAGGACATCATGGGGAGGGGAAATGAGCTGGTATCAAGGGCTCAAGTAGAAAGCAAATGTTTTGAGAATGATGATGGCAACATATGTATATGTGCTTGACCAATGGATGGATGGATGGATTGTGATAAGAACTGTAAGAGCCCCTAGTAAAATGATTTGAAAAAAAAGGACAGGACATCATGTTGGTAAAGTGGAGGACGGTCAGTGAAAAAGAGGAAGAATTGACCGAGTTGCCAGCATGGGTTCAAACATGACTGTGGTGAAGCCTAGGCAGAGTTCTGTGACGCATAGGCTCCCTGTGATTCAGAACCAACTTCATGGCATCTGCACCACAACATGTGTGCTTCTCTGTTCCTGGAGATTTGAGTTGTCTCCATCTCAGAGCTGTTGCCACTAGTGCTATAGTGAATATTGATGGACAGCTCCCTGTTACTATGCCCCGGGCCTTTGCCAGCCCTGAGCATTCTACATTAGGTGATGTAAACGCTGTGCCTCCAGGAGTCCACCTGACACTCAAAACCACAGTTCTTTTGAGAACAAGGTCCCGTTCTGGATGGTTCTTATGACAGTACCTGTCCTGGAATGTGGGCTGTCCCACCAAGCTAGAATTCAAAAAGGTCTCATCAAAATTTAGCTGTGTTTTCTTGTTGTCAGCCAAAGAGGAAGGTTGACTTTCATAGCTCCGAAAAAAGGGGGTTCTGTTGCCCGTTGATTTGTTACACTCTTCATGGTTTTAGGAGGACCCTACTCCACTCTTTTCTCGGACCTCCCCATATAACTACAAATGAAGCAACAGGAAGTGCAGTGGTTGTATGCATGGCTGGTTCAGATCCTCAGAAGAGACCTGGCAATCGGCTCTCACGTCCAGGGCACTACGGGCAGCAGTTACACTCTGTCCTACGGGGTGGTGCTAAGGCCGAACCAACTTGATGGCACCCAACTACACCTCCCTGAATGTGCTTGGTCAGTCATTATCTCCTCTGGGGGTAGAAAAAAATATTGGACATCCATCCACACCTCGTGATGAAAGATTCAGTGAGAAAGTGAGCTACCCAACATACGAGTCCAGGCCCGCATAAGTTCCCAAGTTGGTCTGCTCTTCAGGTCTACGCCACACTCTGTCCCCGCTCAGTCCACGCACTCCCTTCGTCTTGGGTAGTGTGGGCCAGCGTGAACACCACTGCCAGCTTAGCGCAGCTGTGAGTAGGCTGCGGATAGAAGGGGGGAAGCTAAAGAAGAGGCCCCACACACATATATGTACACGGGGAAAATGCTGCTGAATCCTTAGTAACTCCAGATTCCATAGCACTAGAGTCATTGCTCCAAAGACAGTGAGTGCCTCAGACAAGGTTGCAGGCATTTCATCATGGAAGCAGGAGGGAGGAGCAGGAAGAACGCCATCATTATAGAAACTGCCCTTGTGTAACTGGGGCTGGCATCTGCTAAAACCTCCAAGAAGCCTGCAATTTCTACTCATAAGTAGCTGCTCAAATCCACAGGATTAGTGGATTTGTTTCTCCTTAGTGGAGGGCTGCCTCTGGCCGTTGGCTGAAGCCTTTGTGCAGAAAGCAGAGTGGCTGGGCATTGGGTGCTTGGGGGATGTAAATCACTGTAGGTTGAGTTCCCGCTCAACTGCCAGAGCTGGGGCTGAATCACTGCGTCCCAGGACAACAAAGGACCTGCTAAAAAGGTTCCCATTCAGAATTCTTTAAATGAAGTCAATCGTGCTACTTCATAGGCTTCTGCTATCTAGAAAACTGGGCACTGCACAGAGCCTCCCACTCCAAAGCAGTGCGGGACAGGTGAGGCTTTGCCATGTTTCAGGAAGAGCTGCCTCAGTGATTTTGTCTCTCGCTGTAGGAATTGGCGGTGGCATCATCCACCAGCACGAATTGATCCACGGAAGCTCCTTCTGTGCTGCAGAACTTGGCCACCTCGTCGTGTCTTTGGATGGGCCCGACTGTTCATGTGGGAGCCACGGGTGTATCGAAGCATATGCTTCTGGGATGGCCTTACAGAGGGAAGCAAAAAAGCTACATGATGGTTGGTTTCTTTTCCCTAAGAAATTTAATAGACAGATGGTAAACAGGTACTTCAAAATAGAAAGCCCCAAAAGAGCTGCAAAAGCGTTCCCCTTCCCTTGCTAACGGGAAAGCTGCGCCCCCTCGTCCTTAAGCCAGTGCCCTTGATCTTGACCCACAGTGGCACTCCTCCTTTCCAGGGTGGGAGGCGGACAGGAACCCTTGACCTGTAACAAGCCCAGGAAAACTCCTTTCATCCTTGATTTCTCAGTCTCTTGCTCAGACTTACTACACGCTTAATGAGGAACTAAATGGATGAATGTGTTATAAATTTTGAACCCTGATAGCTGTTTGAATTAAAGCTATTAATGGACATGTTTCAAAAGTCAGCATGATCTCTAGGCTAAGGCAAGAGAGTGCCTATGACCGTCATGATAAGATAGTGCATGTAAGGATCCCTAAGTTCTCTCCGCAACCTCTCCATACAGGGATGGGAGCATTAGAATACTGCCCTGGGAATTAAAGTGAGGAGGAGACAGGCAGCCACAGGAGCTAGCTTTCCAGTGGTGCTGGTGCAGAAAGGCCAACCCAGAGATTGTAGCAAGAGGTAAGCTGGGGCCACAGGCAATGGAAAGCTTTCATTAGAAAGATAGTTGGACCTCGGTGTTCAGTTCTTCACTAAACTAGCTTTTGGAGGCTGGCTGTGACTGGGACAGTTGCAGCTTTGGGAGAGGACATACGGGGGTTGGGAGAATAAACTAGGACCAGGTTTAGTGGACGATGATGGCCAGGTACCTGCAGGAGCTGCAGGAGATGGTGCCTAGGAGGTGTTACTGATTAGGAGACCACAGGCGCCAGAGGGTGGAGTCCTGAGGGAGAGCGCTACATTTGGAGTGGGGAGCAGGAAAAGGAATGGCCCCAAAGCCCGAATGAGGGGGTTTCAAGGAGCGAGTACTTGATAGTATGGCCTGCTGCAATGAAGAGACACTTGAGACCCTTACAGCATCACTCCCCTATCAGCCTTTCCCCCCAAATTTCTCCCCTCGGTGAACTGTTAATACCAGATATGCTGTACTCATACATTTGTTTATGTATGCAGCTGTGTTTTATACAGAAAAAGGCTAAGATGTATTTGCCCCTGAGACCCAAGTTTTTGCCTGCTTTGGGGTGAATACATGTCTTAAAGAAGTTCTATTGAAATACAAGAGTGCTTCAGAAGAGCTCATGGAAAGGTGTAATTAAAAGATAATGGATTTTTTTCCAGGAGCATTTTGAAGCCCCCTGGTTGTGGGAACAGAAGCTTCCTGCATAAGCGGAGGGGTGTGCTCAAAGGACCTGCATCAGCACAGCGGTTGGACAGAACAGGGAATGCAGCGCAGGTTGAGAATTCAGGAGAAGGGTCCGGGTAGCCCTTAGTCAAGCCCAGGTAGACAGAAACAGGAAGCGGGGGCAGAATGGAAAGGGGGTCCTTGAGAATCAAAAGGACAGAAACCTGGGTGGTGCTAGTGGGGAGGTCTCAGGAGGTGGTGAAGGTTTAGACGAGCAGTGACAGAGTAGGAGGGAGCACTGCCAGGGCAGCCAGGCGGGACGTCCACTCGGTGCCTAGGTAGCAGCCCATGCGTGTGGATTTTCTCCCACCAGAGCAAGGGGAGAAGCAGATCAGAAAGGTGGGGTGATCTGGGTTGCTGACTGGCAGTGAGGATGCCAGCAAGGCAAGGACACTGATGCCAGAACTACTTACTTTGGGCAGCACAGCACTGAGCAGCTCATGTCCTGTACCTCATTCTTCCTTCCCTGCACGCATCCTTATTACCGCAATCTCCAGGAAAGAGAAACAGGGTTAACTGAGTGACCACCCTGGACAGGGTCACGCAGCTCATAGTGGCAGAGGCCTGCATGTGCCCCGACTGAAGAGTGCACCCCAACACCTGGGTTGGAGGAGGAACGAGGTGACTGTGGGAGGAGTCTGATGAC